TTTTAGTAGAGGCGAGGTCTCGCTCTTGTTCAGGCTGGTCTCGAACTCCTGACCTTGAGCGATCCACCCGCCTCGGCCTCCAAGAGTGCTAGGATTACAGGCGTGAGCCACTGCACCCGGCCTGAACTACCTTTTTAAAGCCATAAAATACCATAGTTTTAACACAGTTAAGTTTACATCAATGTATTTATGTGGTAACTTTTACCTAATAAAATGGACAGAAACATAATTCAAATCTTGAACTATTAAGCCCTACTTAGTATGATTTTCAGCTGATTTCTTTGAGCAACTAATTGTAATCAAATTACTTGCATAACTGACAAGAGATGATTCCATTGGTATTGGTGGCTTTTCTTTGTACAGGTCCTGATTAAGCAAGAAATTCAGAGGAAGAGTGGTTACGCCATCCAGGCTGACGAAGAGCAGTTGCGAGTCCAGCTGGACACGATCCAGTGTGAACTCAATGCGCCTACTCAGTTCAAGGTACCATAAGGCTAAACTGCTTCAGGGGATCTGCAGAGAAATGTCAGCCAGTCTTCAAACACTGCACACCTGTGTTCATTAAACATTTGCCCCCTTTAATTAAGACGTACTTTCCAAACTCTCAGTTGTGGAAGTGGTGGTGGTGGTTGTTAGCGGTTGTAATTTGACTCAATCTTATTTTTAGGGCCGACTAAATGAACTGATGTCCCAAATCAGGATGCAGAATCATTTTGGAGCAGTCAAATCGGAAGAAAGGTATTATATAGATGCAGATCTGTTACGAGAAATCAAGCAGGTAAGTGTGGCATGAAGGTGTACTTCTTAAAGTGTGAGGTCCCCACTTTATGTCTATTAGGATGGTTTATTGTCCAAAAAAAGTAAAGTACTGGTGAGAAGGTGAAGAAACGGCAAGCCTGCACTGTCAGGGGAAGGTAAAATGGTGCAGCCTCCATGGAAACAGTATGGTGGTTCCTCAAAAAATTAAAAATAGAATTACCGTACAATCCAACATTTCTACTTCTGAATGAGTGAGTACCGGAGGAAGTTAAAAGCAGGGTCTCAAACACATACTTGTACAACCATGGTCACAGCAGCATTATTTACAACAGCCAGAATGTGGAAGTAACCCGTGAGTCTATCAAGGAATGGATACACAAAACGTGGTGTATATACACACACAACGGAGTATCACTGAGCCTTTAAAGGAGGGAAATTCTGACCCATGCTGTATGAATAGGCCTTGAAGATGTTATGCTCAGTGAAATGAGCCAGTCACAACAGGACAAATGTCATACGATTCCGCGTACACGAGGTACCTAGAGTAGTCCAGTTAGTAGAGTAGAATGGCGATTGCCAGGAGCTGGGGGAGGAGGGATGGGGACTCACAGAGCTGCAGTTTGGGAAGATGATAAAAACTTGTAAATGAAATGGATAACGGCGATTGTTGCACACCATGAATGTACTTAACGCCATTGACCTGCACACTTAAAAGTGGTTAAAATGGTAGATTTTATGCCTATTTTACCACAATAAGAAAAGCGAATCATCCCCTTCCTCCAAAAAAAGATGAATTTAGGGTAGTAGAGGCAACGGACCGCCCTAGACATCGCTACTCAAAGCGTGGGTGGCGGCAGTGCCTGAGCGGTCATCAGAGTCGCAAAACTTTAGTCCTTACCCCACAGCTACTCGGTGTATATTTTTGCAAGACCATAGAGCGATTTGTATGCAGGTAAAAGTCGAGAAGCAACTGTTCTAGATCACACCTTCCCAACCTGTTTACCACATACAAGTTATAAACATGTTGAGTTACTGCTTCCCTCAGCCCTGGGGACCCGAGTGGAGGCTGGGGTGGCCAGAATCTCCAACCACTTATCTAAGGCTCACCTTGTATGAAAAAGTTGGGAATCACTGCTTTGGCTTGTTTTCATTAGTATAATTACAGATCAGCGTAACGCAAGCCGCCCGGCCATTGTGTCTAAAGAAAACATATTAAGATGGTAACTTCTGTGGAACATACGAGGCAGGACTGTTGGCATGGCCCTGAGGATTTTAGATGTTATCAATGTCATCAACAAATCCCGTCTTATTATGTGCTTTGCAATGGATGTTACTGTTTTATGTAATTAAAAACTTAGGTTGGCTCCTAAATTCTTGGAAAGTACACATATACTCAATTATATTTCCTTTTTTAAGTATTTGCAATAAAATTGACTGAGACGGATTCTAGTATATTGTAATAAAGAGTTTGTATTAAAGATTCTAGTATATTAAAGAGTTTGTATATGTAATAAAATTGGGAATAATACCTTTTTAAAATGATGAAAAACAGCATTTTATTTGGAATTGAATCATGGCTCACCGTCTACTTTATGACCTTGAACAGGTTACTTACCTGTGTCTCAATTTTTTTTTTTTTTTTTTTTGAGACAGAGTCTCACTGTGTTGCCCGGGCTAGAGTGCCGTGGCGTCAGCCTAGCTCACAGCAACCTCAAACTCCTGGGCTCAAGCGATCCTTCTGCCTCAGCCTCCCGAGTAGCTGGGACTACAGGCATGCGCCACCATGCCCGGCTAATTTTTTCTATATATTTTTAGTTGTCCAGGTCATTTCTTTCTATTTTTTAGTAGAGACGGGGATCTGACTCTTGCTCAGGCTGGTCTCGAACTCCTGAGCTCAAACAATCCGCCCGCCTCTGCCTCCCACAGAGCTAGGATTACAGGCGTGAGCCACCGCGCCCGGCCCGTGTCTCAATTTAACTGTAGAGATATAGCACCCCCCAGAGGGTTCTCAAAAGGATTTTAAATGACTTGAGTGAATACCAATAAAGCTATTAAAATATGCCTTAATCCATAAGACTCTTAAAAATGTTAGCATCTGTAGTCATCATCACCATATAATTTGTACATCAAAACATAAAATCAGGCAAAGTGGCTCGTGCCTGTAATCCCAGAGACAGAAGGATTGCTTGAGGTCAGGAGTTCAAGACCAGCCTGGACAACACAGCCAAGACCCTGTCTCTACAAAAAATAAGAAAAATTAGCCAGGTGTGGTGACAGATGCCTGTGGTCCCACCTATTCAGGAGGCTGAGGCAGGGGGATCGCTCGAGCCCAGAAGTTCGAGGCTGCAGCGAGCTATGATCATGCCACTGCACTCCAGCCTGGGTGACAGAGACACTCCAGCCTGTCTCTTAGAAAAGAAAAGAAAGAAAATTCTCAGTTTTTAGAATGATTATTTTGTTCATCATCTAGATTTGAGTACCTTCTTTGAGTTCTACTGTAGTATCATAGCTTTGTTTATCAAAGGTTGACAAGAGGAATAGCTATCTAAAAAACATGCTTCTGTTAAAGATACTGTTCAATATATATTTGATTTTATTCTTTATAGAGTGTGTCTTGTACTGTCATACAAAGTGCTGTTAGCAAAAGATGTAGTTCAAATGTTTAAATATGCACGCCTGCTATATCTTGGTTACTAGCTGTTGTATTGCTAATAGCCCTTTTCCTGTGACTAGCTTGCAGGTGATCAGAATCATACATTAATACGTGTTTTTACATTCATTCCAGCATTTAAAACAACAACAAGAAGGCCTTAGCCATTTGATCAGCATCATAAAAGATGACCTAGAAGATATAAAGTTGGTAGAGCATGGATTGAATGAAACTGTCCACATCAGAGGTGGTGTCTTTAGCTGACAGTTCACAGACCTGGTTACAAGTTTTGTGAAATGCATCTTCTTAGTGCACCAAGCCTTCCTTAAGAATGAAACTGACCACATGGAGGGAACAAAAAAAAGGAAAACATCCTCTCCTGGCTTGGTTTTTTGAGAAGGTTCCTAACAAATTACTGTTCTTCAAATCTGAAATAACATAGTCACCTCACAGCTCTTCAAAGAAAACCTTTGAAAGATTTCTATCTGAAAGCTGTATTTACTTTAAAAAGAAGTGCATAATTACCAAAAGTATATGTACTATTGTACATTTTTACAACAGCGTTTTCTTAAACATAATCAGTGTTTAATGATTATTTGTCCATTGAACTTGTACTCTGCTTTCCATAGCAAGTAAATATAAAATATCTACTTTGCATATAACAAAATAAACTGTATGATTACTTGGCTGTTGGAGGGTTACACTTCAGAATGTAAATGTACGTCAGTTTTTATATTTGCGAATTCATCTGTGGGAGGAGTAAAGAAAATCTAAAAAGTATTTAATGATTAATGTGGTTTTCTTTTTGTTCTATAAAGATTTGAAAATATATTTTTATATTATTTTACTTATTTGGAATTTACAGAACACACACCTAAGCAATTAGGATATAACAATTACCATTTTTGCTATTTTTAAAAATATCTTTATTTCTTAAAATGTAAACAAATAAATTCTTTATTTGTAGTTTTATAGAATTCTGTCTGGTGCTTGTTTATTTGGCTTTTGGGGAATGACCATTTATGTCCATACCGTTACTAAATTCATAATCACAGAATTCAGGAATTTTAGTCTTAAGTGTGCTTTCCCTCCTAAGGACTTTTGTCAATGCCAATATATTTTGACTTGTGTATGCCAAATAAAACTTCAGATCTCATCTGGCATAAAGAATTCCCTAATACGTCATTAGCATCTAAAAACACTAAAAATCTGAGTTAAACTTAATAATATGCAAGTGATTTTTTAACAACACTTTAAACAGTAGTTCCGACTGCAGACCACAGACATGGGCTGCATCGCGTCGGCCCGTCTTGAATGCTGTAACTTTGCACCTCTGTGCGGTGCTTTGGCTTGTGTCGAAAGGTGTTGTAAGAACCGGCCCCGTGAGTCTCGCTCTTGTCTCGCGGTGGGGATGGCGGAGCGCGTCTCGACTGCACGTCCAGAGTCCGTCCTCTGAGAGCCCGCTGAAGGATTTCCCCTCAGTTGCAGAGTAGACGATAGTTGTGTAGGAGACTGGGAACTTTAAAACGGATCGTTTCTTTCCAAGTTTGCTGCTAGAAGTTTGCAGCCACTTTTGCCAAGTTTATGGCATGCACGTCTGTTCCGCTGCCCTCTTTAATCGTACTTTTCCTACTCACTGACAGGAATTTCTCTTTGTCCACGTTTTCTCCTTGGCCCAGAAGATAGGCCCTTCCACTGTTCTCAGCCACGTAGCCAAGTAGGAGAGGAGTGTTCTCTTACCCTCTGCTCCCCCCTTTACAGCAGGAAGAATTGAGCTACTTGAGAATTATTACTCACTGAGCCACATACTTGAGAGGGTGGGTCACTCGTCATGCATACCATGCTGACTTCTCTAGCCTTCCATTTTTCATTTTTCATGTTGTGATGTTGTTAGGTTCCTAGTTCCAGAAGGTGAATACACCTAGTCAGGGCCCAAAGCCCCCTTTAAAGACAAGCCTAGTCATCCTGCTGGGTTTCTATCCCACTGGCGACTGCACGCAGATGTGAGGCGGGCCTGTGGTCCTTGGTTGTATAGCTGGTTAGATAACTGGGCTCAATCAGTTACCTAAGCGAGTGCTATAGACTGGCTGTTCGTGTTCCCCCAGAATTGATGTTGAAATCTTAATTCCCAATATGGTAGAATTAGGAGGTGAGGCCACTGGGAGGTGGTGAGGTCATGAGGGTGGAGCCCTCATAAATGGGATTAGTGCTCTACTTCTGTTCCTTCTGCCATGCGAGGGTGAGAAGACAGCAGTTTGCAAGCCAGGAAGAGGGCCCTCACCAGGAACTGAATCTGCTGGCACCTTGATCTAGGACTTCCGGTTTCCAGAACTCTGAGAACTAAATTTCTGTTTGCTCATAGGCCACCCAGTCTATGGTATTCTGTTATCACAGCCCAGACTACAACACCGAGTTCTAAATGTGGGCAGATGAGAGAAAGATCCACTTTGGCCCCAGGACTAAGTTGTGTTCTGCAATACAGTTTACCAGAAATTCTGTATTTAGTCCTCGACTAGTCAGTGGTTCTTGTGGATAGTCTTCACTCAAAATTTTTAACATGAGAAGTGGTAGAATGAAAACGCACTCACCCGTAACACGCCGTTTAGATTCATGCAGCTTCTCTGTACCCTTAAAAGTGGCCTCAAATCCTTTTTGAAACGTTGGCAAAGTGTAAACAAATTGCAGTGACCAAGGCCCACGCTGAAATCGGTCACTAGTCAACTGCAGGACCTCAGGGGAAACGGTAACTGCGCTGCGTAATTTCGTTTTTCCTTGCTTGACGTACATATTCACTCAGTACCTGTCTGCTCTCCTGGGTTAGTGTGAGATTTAAGTTAGAGCCTATGTATGTGAGGCATTTTGTAAATTGTGGAATTTATAAAAATATAAATGTTCAAATATCTGGGGAAGATGAAAAGATTGAGGGCTGAGGGATGATACTATTTGAAGGCAAAGTTTAATCCTTCAAAGAGATGAGTAAAATAACTAAAATTCTATTTCAAGGATTAAATTCATGTTAACCACTAAGATCAGTATTGGCATTTTAATACATGGCAATTCTGAAATTATATCTAATAAAGTCTTTTATTGAATTTAGTCAGAAGTATACAGTTTGGGATTTTTTTTCGATTATAAGATTAGTATAGAAATAAGTGAAAAGTTAATTCTGTGACATTATATCTGGACCAACTTTCTGAATTTACAAAATGAATAACAAATAATATAGTTCTCATTTTGTCAAGTGACTTTGGCCAACAAGTGAAAAATACATCATTCCTTCTGATCTCCTGTGGGATCCCTATAATGTATTTCAAGTAAAGAATATGAAAGATAAAGAATGTATCAAACTATAGAGGAACAAAGATTTACAGCAGAAACACTGATTAAAATGATGAATGTCCCAAAGGGTGGAAGAAGCATTTTGCCAGAGGATGCAGAAGGATGGGTTCTGGGACCCGGAACAGGAGCTGGACCTGTTAAGAGAATACACAGTCACTAACACGTGTCATTTTTGATGGCAAATATCATCCACCTATAAAGTATTATCCTGAATATGTAAATGATACTAAACTTGAGTTAAAAACATAGCTGAAATACATCCAACCAGGAAAAATTTTCAAATAAATGCAGTTCATTACAGATTTCAGGCTGTATCCCAGACAGTTGACCCTTGAACAATGAGCACCAACCCCCCATGCTATTGAAAAGCCACATAGAACTTTCGATTTCCTAAATCTTAACTACTAATCGTCTACTGTTGACCGGAAGCCTTACTGATAACATAAACAGTCGATTAACACATATTTTGTACATTATATGTATTATGTACTGTATTCTTGGAATAATGCTGGAGAAAAGAAAATGTTAAGAAATCATAAGAGAAAATACATTTACAGGACTGTATTTACTGATATCACAAGTTCCACTGTTGAAGATGAACTGTCTGGAATGACGAGCACCTGCAGTGCACACCTCAAACCACAGTGCACAGCAAGCAAGCAGTTCAACTTTTTCTTGTAACGTCAGGACTTTTCTCTGCTTTTGGGGGCACTTGCCGAATCACCAGTGGCACTTCCTATGAGTACTGCACTAAACATGATGAAAAATACGCAAGAACTGTGAGAGGTCACTTTTTACAATGATGTGCAATTTATCGGGGCGATGAACTGCTTATGCAGAGATTATCAGCATCACGTGGCATTTTAAGCAGCTACAACACTTGAGTGTACTGTAAGTCACAGGAAGTGGCTATGAAATTATTACAATAGTGCAGTCTGTACTATAATGTTATGCAGTTATGATTTAATACTGCATAAATATGCATAAACTTTAACATGGAAAGTTTGTTTGCATTTCTCTTGACTGTGAATGGCACCATGTATAGCCTGTGTTCGTGTGTGTAAGTTTTGATAAGTTTTAACTTTTTATAATAGATTTGTGTATATTTTATGGTAGAAAATAAAATAGTATCTACATATATTTTATGTATTAATGATATAACCCAGCTTTTTCTTAATTTTTTCTCACATTTCTAGGCTGTGCAGTTCCGTGGGGTTTTTCAAATTGTTGCAACTCTCCAAAAATTTTTCTAATATATTCATTTTTAACAATCCATGTAGAAGTGGACCCGTGCAGTTCAGACGTGTGTTGTTCAAGGGTCAACTGTCTATCGTCAGGGTGTGCTGCTCTAGGTTTTATCATAGGATTTCACAAGCTTTGTAATCTCTATATAGCCAACATAATTATTTTTTGTTGTTCAAGTTCTCCAGAATTTCTTAGCAATTTTCTATTTCCATTTTCTATATATACATGCAAGGTAAAGTTTAATTGTGTCATATTTCAAACAAGACAGCGTATTTTACATGCATATGCAAATAACTACCAATATACAACTGGATATACAGTCGTCCCTTGGTATCCATGGGGGATTGGTTCTAGGACCCCCAATCCACAAATGCTCAAGTCCCTTACATAAAATGGTATCGTGTTTGCATATAAGCCACACACATCCTCCTGTATACTTTAAACCCTCTCTAGATTACCTGTAATACCTAATACAATTTAAATGCTATGTAAACAGTTGTTACATTGTATTGGTTTTACTTGTATTCTTATCGTTTTGTTATTTTTTATTGTTTTTTCCCCAAATATTTTTGATTTGAGGTTGGTTGAATCCCTGAGGATACAGAGGACCGACTGTAGCTGCTTTTTTAAAGGAGAAGCCTGCAAGGTGATAAAAATAAATAAATGTTTTTCCCTGCACACACACACTGCTCCGGCGAAGACTGCTTCCCTTTCATCTGAGCTAGCGGAGGGGAGCGCATCATTAGGATAATCCGTTTCACACTGCCCTGCACTCAAGATAACTGACTGACAGCCATGTTTTCGTTTAAACAGACTATATAGGGAAGGGTTGACTGGAAGTATCCAAATGGGATCACCATTCAAATTTCACAAATGAAGCCAACATAAATGATTTTATAATAGCCTTCATGCCATCAGCTGACCTGCCATAGCTACAAACACGCAGTCGCACGCGCACGGATGGAGAGATGATTTTATAAAGCCTTCATGTCATCGGTTGAGCTGCCGTAGCTGCAAACACGCAGTCGCACGCGCACAGATGGAGCGGGGGACAGGCAGGTGCGCGCAGGCATCTGCACAGCCACGTGCCGCGTGACACCGTGGTTAACAACAGACCACACAGACGACAGCGCTCTCCCAAGGTCACGATGGCGTGGGAAAACTCCTACCCCCCAGTGACGCGGCA